ATTTATGACCCTAATCCCCAGAGAAATTAATAAAAAGCTGGCGTGGGGGGAGGGGGGAGGGTTTAACTCTTTCTTGCCTGGCGCGGAGTTGGGCTGATGAATTGGAGAGAAACTAGCCACCGGGCTTACTGGGAAGAGGGGGCCTGGGAGTGGAGTGGGGGTCTTTCGTGCCACCCCATTTCCGGCGGTGCTTTGAGAGAGTGCCTGACTCCTGAGGACTGCCTGAAACGTGGGGCTGGGGGAAGGCTGGTCTTTTGGAGACGGGGCACCCGCTCTCTGGTTCCACAACTGCCTCCCCCACCCCCAGCCTCTCTTCCGGTCCTCCCTTCCCCTTCCTGGCCTTTCCCACCGGCACTTGTCTCTCGGCTCTCTCCTCTTCCTGGGGCCCCTAGCCTGCCCTGAGAGGTTCTCCCTTCTCTCCCCAGCCTCGGGCCTGGCTGTCTCCCGAACCGCATTCCCGGGCCCTGCTCTCTGTCTGATCTCTTTCTTGCTTTCTCCTCCACACTCTGTGGACTCTCAGCCAATGGGTGTCTGTTTCTTCCTGCTCCCGGTTCCCCCCTCCCGCCCTGCTCCCTCCCCAGGGTTGTGCACCCTTCCTCTCTCTCCTTCCCTTAGGTCCAAGGAAGCTTTGAGCTCCCCCGCCTCCCTCAGAGATAAGGGTCAGAGGTCATTGGCGCTTCCGCTCTGGGAAGGGAGTGGTCTAGTAACATCAGAGCCAAGGGCTGGGTGAGAGGGGCCTGGTGACCCCCTAGACAGCTTGCTTCCCTGGAGTTCCCCATGGGACAGTGTAGGAAGGGTCCCTGGTAGACACCCCAGGAAGTTCGTTTTTGAAGGGAGAGAAAGAAAGCGGTTTGTGCTGAATGACAGTGGATTGAGAGTGGGTGTGAGCAGGAAACCCCAGCCCAGCCCAGAGGGTACAGGAAAGAGAACTCCACCCACTAAAGGGTCCCCACCCAGGTCTGGGGCCTTGGATAAAGAATATGTGGGATGTCCATTCTTTCGA